ATCCCTAACGTTCTGTGATTCTGTGATTGGAGCAGCCCCAATGAAGAGCACATAGTTTGTTCCCAGTTCTAAACAACAACTAAATAATTGCTTGGAGTATTTTCATACTTGTTTCTAAAGTAAGCTAAATCTGTCATTTCAAGTTAAGTTTACTAGTTTAGGATGTAAAAGAAACGTATTTGCAGTATTTTAATAACATTAGTATTAAACTTATCTATTCGATATTGACTATAAGAAGCCATCACTACAGCTATGAAGTTACCTTATAAATCCAACTTTAAACTGACAAGAAACTGTAAGTTAACTCCATCCATATAACTTAAATTCTGAAGCTACCTTCTAACTATTAATATTCTTACTAATGTTTGTTCCCCAAAATTTTTAATCAGAAGATTTTGAGGGCTTTTAAAGTTTAAAAAAAAATTTAAAAAAATTAACAATATACAAAGTAAACTGCATCTTTTAAGTGGTAAAAAGAAAATAATTATTCCTGCTTCCAATATTTGAGAACTCTTACAATATCCCCAAAGGTCTGAAGAATAACTTTTATTCTTCCTTTACATTGTAAAAGTGTTTTTATTTTTCCAGCCTTTTGATATTCTTTGAAGTGAACAGTGCTGCAGCCGCTGTTATACACAGAAATGGTGTTAAAATGGTACTTGAGTAGTTTTTACTGCCTTGCCATGGTAGCTGACTGACAGTGGGGATTGCTTGGTTGGCAGTCAGGTGCTAACACTCTTTGTCCAAGTTATATTGAAATTAGTTGGGAGACTGGGGAGCCTGACACTAATCTTTAAGATGAAGTCCACTTTGTCAAGCAGTTTTGTAATATGAACAGTATTTCTGGTTTCCCTTCCTTATTGAAAATAGTGTCAGTTGTTTGTTGTTTGTTTTTTTGAAGCATCATTAACAGAAATGCCAAAATAAATGGATTTTTTTGCATGCCATATGTGGTATCTTAACTTTCATTTCAACTCCTTGAAATAAAAAATATGTTGGTGCAATTCAGTGATGAAATTCATTATACTACGTTATCATTAGATTAAAACCTCGTGAAAAAGATAAAAAAAACAGTTAATAACATAAACAACTTTAGCTTCTATTACCAATGTAAAGTGATATAATAAAGCTGAATTCATCCAACAAAATAGACCGTTAGAAAATACCAATAAATAAGATACACTGTTACAGATGCAAAAAGTTAGGAAATGCGAAGCTTCTGTGCAAGCTTGCAGGGCATGCAGTGATGAAGGGCAGAGGGACAGACAAAACCAGCTTCTGGCATCAGCTTCAGAATGTGAGATGGTTAATTTCAGAGCCCAGATCAGTCCCTCACCCCCCACTTTTATCTTCGAAGCCAATTGTATAGAGAGAATAAATCAATCATTACAGAAATGAGCGAAATAAAAACCATACTTCATTGAAGAGTGACATGAAAAGCGCAAAACCAAGAAGAAAGTGAAAGCAGAAATCCCAGGGGTATGAAAATCCAGCTGCCTACATTCGTCTCCAGTTTGAAGTCTTACGGTCATTGAAATGTAGAAATCCAAACAGAGCTGAAGCGTTTTGGCACCAGCTCAAAGGCTGCTGAAGTTTTCAAATCAAAATAGCAGCACAGATTTTGAATCAGGCCATAAATGTTCATTGCAATTTCTCTACGGGCAGTCTGTTCAACATTAATGACAAAAGCTGGTGGCTTCTCCCACCAGGGGTGACAAGGGCAACATGAGGTACAGTGCCCCGTCTCTAGAAGGTATCGTCACTTTAACTTAGCAGAACATGTAACTGAAACAGTCCATGCTCTGATGTGAAGTTTGCTCTTAAGAGCTGCTTTTTCTGGAGCCAAGACACTGTAAAATCAGGCTCCTGCTAGGTTCTTAAAGCCATCTGAGCTAACTAGGAAACTCCTTTAAAATTAATAAACAGAATACTTTCGTGATTAGGTTATTATAAATTATTCTGACTCCACAGAAAGATGAAAGAAACACAAAGTTATTGAGAAACAAAATTATTTAAAAATGGAAAATTCTTTCAAGGTCTTTTTTAATATGTTGAATTTGTTTTGCATTGCTGTTTAAAAATACTAAATTCTGATTGAAGCTCACTATTTACTATACAATAAAATATGAATAAGATTTCAGTAAGTACTGCTTTAACTGAAAGTAAAATTGAAATTCTAAACATTTTCTGAAAAAAAGTAAATAAAACAGACTAAAATCAACCAGAACATTAATAAAACTAACTGAATCTGTGTCTAGAGGGCATAAAAATGGTGATATGGGAAGGAGGATTTGGTAGTATTTATAGTTTGACAGATGTTGTTCACCTCAAGGAAAGTCATACTTAAAGACACTGAAAAAAAGAAAGTGAGTAAGTGACGTGAATTCAGGCATTACTGCCCACATTATCTTGATAAAAACAGTGTTATTAAATTTGGGTTATCTTTTCTAAGACAAAGTCTATTTCCATATGTATTTTTTTTTCTTTTCTTAGCAAAATATTTTGAAGGAAATGTCTTTCCATACTTGCATAATATCTGTTGCTCAAAGTATTTTTCTTTCTGCAGTTTGCCAGAACGCTTGTCCAAAATAGATTAAGTTCCCTTAAAAAAACATAAATAAAATGGGATTGGGGAATATGTGGAATTGAATTTAAGCATTAGTTCGGGTAAAAGACAAAGTAGCTCCTGAATATTTACATTAACATTTCAGATAAAGTTATTAAATTTCCTTGAGACTGTTTGTAGTCAGTAAAGGAGGAGTATTCAAATAACATCTCTATATTAACAAAATACAGCAAAACAGCAGACCACTAACTAGAGTTTAAGCAATCTTTCTTTGCAGACCTAAGATTATGGCACACGTTTCCCATTTGCAATTGCAAAAATTCACAAAAAGCAGTGCCACTTCCAAAATACTAAGAGTGTCAAGTGTTCAGAGCAAGGATTAGAAGGGGGTGAAACGAACCCAAACGTATCAATCACTTCCAAAAACAAGTGAATGGAGCGTAAACGAAGAAAAGCAACCTGAACACATAAACCAGCAAAATGGAAAAAAAAAATGAACAGCTTTTGACAAAAATCCTCTATTTGAGAATTGCCTCTGAGAACTGTCACAGATTTTATAAGAAACACATTGACTATTGACTATTTGGTGGAGAAGTCCTATTTAAAAAGCTGGTTGTTCTAAGCAAAAAGTTTGTGCTTTAAAGGACAAACTAAAGCAGTAACAATACATGCAGTTATTTTGTTATACATGGAGATTATTTTTTAAGAATAATAAAAAACTGTCTTAAACAATTACCAATCATCATTTATCTAATGTAACTGAAATACACAGCCTAATTAATGCTGACAGGAGTTGTGCAAGACAGCCTCTTGCCTGCAAAAACTATTCACTTTGAAGCTGATTTTGCCAATAATTTGTTGTATGTTAATAAAATATTTATTTTTTTAAAAATGAAATTCTAATCCTATTATGGAGCCTAATAGCACCTGAAGGCAAATGAGGTTTGGAGAATATCTGGAATACTGGGAGACTTATGATTTATCTGGCATGGCAATCAGACTCAGCTAGGAATTGGAATTTAAGATTAAATTTCAGGACATCCATACGAAAAACAGCAGACTAAGAGGCAACCATCAAATCCCACAGTTAACTCTGAGAAGAAACAGACAAATGGAAGATAAGATTTTTTGAGCTCATATTTTTATGGCAGAGTTCAGAAAGGAGAGAGAATGCTGATGGTATGGTGCCACAGCTTTTAACTACTGTTAAAGGCATGAGTAGGTTAGTCCAGAAACATGCAGAAAGTCTTCTGTGAAGTGGAATGGGAATAAAAATTCCTTAATAAGGTGAACCCTGGAATCTCCCATATATACAGATAAAAGTTTGCCACACGCTGCTTTTGGAACAGCATCCTTGAGACTGGTGAGTGAATTCAACTGCCTTATCACACAGCGGTGCTGCTACCAACAGTTGGTTGTGTGATGAGCAAAGCAGCGGTGCGGGGGTTTTATACCCTATAGATAATGACACAGGGACTAAAGTTAGGAGGGACTGAAGTACTGTAACTGAACTGAGAGTAACTGTGGAAAGTTCTGGACCATTCAAATATTCTTCAATGCCAGTGAAGGTCTAAAGTGCTCCAAAAGTTTGGGTCTGTCTTCCTCACTGCAGTGCTAGTCAGGCTAAAGAGAGGCTTCTACCTGATGTTGTGGTGGTACTGATCCCAGCAGGGAAATATGTTGAGAGAAAGATTTATAAATCTACAGTTTGCCGAATGGTAGATCAGGACTGCCTTTGTCCATTTAACTGCCATCGAGAAGATACTCTGAATTGGCAGCACATTAGGCACACAAATAAGTCCTCACCACAGTGCAAAATGAACAGCAGACACATGCACTGACTTACACTGTCAACATAACATTTAGATTTTAACTCTCCAGCAGCAAATCTGCTGACATCTGCTGAAGTAAACCTGTGAGATAACACACACAAGTATTAACAAAGCCTACAACTAAACCCAGAAGAACTACAGAAAAACTGAAATAAAAAATGAAACATATTCTATAGGTGTGAAGTTATACATTTGAAACTGCAGTGTAATACAGGCAATTATGTACCTTAATGTGCAACCATCTAATGCCATAGGAGAATACAGTAGCCTCAGCTATGCCCAATTTTCTAAGAGATTCACGAAGCACTGAAATACATCCTTCATGGATGATCACCAGCAAAGGTAATTTTCAAAAGATTATTTCAGGCTGAGAAAGCATTTGAGTCCAAAGTAATAGGACTCACAAAGAAAAAAAAGAGGGGGGAAGGGGGTGTGTCTTTAATATACCATAATCTGCAGCCCATTTACTTTAAACTTTTTTCCTCTCTACCTTTAAATAAAGCCTTCAATTTGGAGACCTCCTTGAGCAAGCAAACTAATTTATGACATTACTAAATCAGCAGAAGAATTCCCATACCCCTGGAATGTGGAAAAAACAGAAATGAAAATTTCAGCTTTTAGAAAGTGAAAAATAGAAAGGTATAAAAAGATAAATAAAGCAAACTAAAGATGTATAGGAAAAACAAAACATTATTTTAGAGGGAGACAGTTTGTAGCATATCAATCCCTTTACCTGATGCTGTTACCAGGAGGCTGTCTGAATCACATGGTCTACAGGATGAAGCACTAACAGGGTTTATGGAGGAGCTACAGGCAATGGTGGTGGGAATGACAAAGGAATTTTCTGAACATGCAGGTTGGTTCAGTCCAGGGAAGTGGGAAGGCCAGGCACCCACCTGAGATGAGGCTATGGCTGGTATGGCACAGCCTGCAGGTGCCACAGATAAATCTATAGCAGGTTTTGGTGGCAGCTGAGGTGAGGACTTAGAAATAATTTCCTCATTTATTACCCTGATTCCTTGTGGTGAACTTGAAAGAGGTGAGGTCACGGTTTTGCTGTCAGTTTTTGCACTTGTATTTGAGGATCGACCACTATCCATTAAAACTTTAAGCTGTGGGTGTGGTGGAGAAGGAGTTTGCGAAAGCCCTGGTTTTTTAGGAGGAATAGGTGGAGGATTCCCTCTGTCAATTCTTGACACACTGGGAGTCTTTAAACTCGTTCTACCAACTGGGGGGTAAGTGGCAACTTCCACTGAATGTGAGGGCCCCGGCCGCGATGGAGCGCCACTCTGAGGGCTTGTAAATCTTGAAAGGACTTGGGTAACAGTATTCCGAGCTACCTGCTTGGCAACTAGGTTGTCACGACTAGTAGGGGATACGTCCCTGGAGGGAGGGCTTTGGGTTGTGTTTCCATTTTGGTCTTGCTCATTCGCATTGGCTTGAAATCTACATCTAGCTGCCTGGACTCGTGGATTTAGGCCTGGATGCCCAGGAGAGGTGGCAGACGGTGAATGTAAACTGTGCATAGACGAAGTTAGTGAGGAATTCTGAGCTGCGGCAGTCGGTGCCGCAGGGGTGCAAGGGGAAGTACTATTTGAAAAAGGGGAAGTGCTACTTGGTAAATCAGATGATGAGCCTGTACTTGGTCCATTTTCTTCAATTCTGTTTTGATTCTGTGTGAGAACAGGAGTTGTGGGAGGGGCAAGTTCACTGGATGAAGATTGCCTATCAATGACAGGCTTCACAAATGCTGCATTGGCGCACACATTCATTTTTGTATTGCCAGACGCCAGTGGGTTCACTGTAGAAGGCTTTACAGATACAGTCAAAGGCAACTTCTTAACATTTTCTGTGCTACTGTCCATCACTACAGGATCTGTTTGGCAGGCAACAGTTCTTGAACTTGGCTCTTCTGTTTCAACAGAAACAGAAACAAGACTCCTATCTTTACTTTTATCTTTATTTTTAAGAGAAAGATTAGCTTTACTTTCATTCTCCTTTTTCAATTGCTCAATCATTTTGATCATTTTATCTCTCTCTTCTCTGAGTTCACTGGTGTGCGCTTCCTCTCTATGAAGTTTGGCACGCAACTGCTCTCTCTCTGTGTCAAACTCAGACAGCTGCTTTTCCATTTGAGCTTCCATTTGTGTACTCCTTTGTTTCTCAGCTGCAAGAGACTCCTCCAGCTCAGTAGCCTTTTTCTTCTCCTCTTCAAATTTTGACATTACTTCTTCCAGTTTCTGGGCTTCCTCTACAATTCGGCCAGACAACTGCTTGCACTCTTTCACTAGCATCAATATTACATGCTTATTCTTTCCACGTTCTTCTTCCAGACGAGCAGAAAGCTTTTTATGCTCCAGCTCAAGACTCTGTAACTGAGATTTTTCCATTTCTAACTGTAAGAAAGCATAGAGAACAATTTTCATTAACAAGATGGAGACTTTCAACATAACCTTGTATTAACCTGACATGGATATTTTAGCCTTTGAGAGTATGCCTAAAATGAAGCTGTCCACCCCAGGAATGTGATTTGTGATACCTAACACAAATGCCTATAATCTTACACAAGCAAAAGAAAGAGACACATGCTTCTGAAGAGCAATTCAGAAACTAAGTAAGCCCATCTACTTTCCTCTTGACAACACAGACACTCCCCAAAGTGATTAAATGATTGATTCCCGAGTGAGGAACTACCTGTTCTCCAGAAATTAGACATAAGACATCACAGAATTTCCTCTTCTCAGTGAAGTAACCAGACACAAGAAGATATGAGCTTTGCAAAAGATCTTTGAGCCAAAGAATGAAAAGTTCATGTTTTAGGTCTTCCTCAGACTGAAGGAGATCAGGGTTGAAATAGGCAGCCCATCATGCCCATAATAGGTGTCTCATATCTTGTCTTAACATTTATAAATAAAATATTAATTTCTGAGACCAACATTTTGGCACAGGCACAAACATTTTTCTGTACTTACTAATAGCAGAAGGTCTCACTGATATCAGTGATGTGTACACTTAGTTAAAAGTTAGAATCAAAAAACTACCTACTACATGCAGATAACGGATAAGAATTTTTTTTCCCCTCATTCATATAGTTATTGCCTCTAATTCATCTTGCCTGCTGGTTATGCTTTTATTCAGAGATCCTGTTCTAGAAAAGCACTGGAAAAATATACGTCAATGCACCACTTTGTAAAATATGTACTAGTAATAATGCAACCCAAATTGCTTTGTGTTTTCCCAAGCAAACTTTTACACACGTCAAACAACAACAAAAGAAGAAAATGTTTTTTGCCTACCTACTCCTCCCTTCACATACTGATGCAGTAGCTTCCTATACAGCTTATTTGAATGACTGATTAATAAAACCAAACAACCAAAACCCCAAGAAACTGCTGAGCATTCTTTCTCCTGTACTCTTTATTGGTTCAGTCTTGTCAGTTCTGCTTCATATTTATGTACAGATCAATACAAGAATAACAATTCAGAACTGCACCAAGAAAATGCATTTTCTAAGTGGGCATTTCAGGTACCTACAGAAAAAAAAATGATGTGCTCAAAAGCATGATGGTTAATTTTGACTGCAACAGGAAACCGTTTCATACTTCTTCAATACAAGAACAGTTTACAACACTCAAAAAAGTGATCTAAGTGAAGCTGTGGCAAATAGCAGTACATTTACGATCTTACTTTGAATAAATGTTAAATGAAAGAAGAATCATAGGTTATAGATTCAGATTATAGTGTCATGATAAAAATTATATTAATTTCAGTGTTCAAGACAACACACTGTAGGGAATATATTTACATTCAACTGTAATGTGGGAAACAAGATGTCCCAGGGGATTGGTGATAGCTGAGGAATATCTCCTCTCTCAGTCAATGCTTAAAATATCATCTTGGTTGCTAGATGAAAACAGACATACAAGCAAGTTAAGAAAAAAAAAGTCCACCCAGGCATTACAACATAATAGCTTTTCAGTAGCCTGTTGCTACAGCACATTAATCACTGTCCTCTCCAATAGGAGATGAAATTTCTTAGCTCTGGAAGCTTTTTCCACATTACTACAAGATGTGTCTACAATTAATTTTTAACTAAACTGCATTTAAACAAAAACGAAATACTATTTTTAAATAACTGTTTTGCTACTCTCCAGTTACACCATAAAGTTGAAACTCACGCCATCAAGAGATGAGTATGAGAGGGGAAGACTGCAGTTGCAATAGAAATAAATCCCACTTTCTATAGCTCATTGACCCCAGGATAATTTTTTCTCACATTGTAAGTAGAATTCAAACACAAGAAAACACTTAAAAAGGAAGAGAAGTGAAATGAGGGAACAAACAACAAATCCTGCATGAATTTGCACTTATAGATGAACGTGTGTCTCAGACTCCCAATATTTCTAATCATGTTTTCTGACTCTAAATTTGTCTTCCTTTTTCTTCAGAAGAATGGGAAAAAGTGATGGCAATATTGATGTGAAGTATATTATAGTAATAGCAAAATGTCTTCCTGAAATCACATCACTATCATGAAAAACAGTGAACTAAGAGGAAGAAATCAATATGGGAAATTATACCTACATTATAACTCTCATATTGGTTTCAAATGTATCAAAGCCTGTTTAGAAGTGGAGGGGCTCCACTGGGGTTTTAGAGGTTGATCCCAGGCTAACCAATACACTCTGTACAATGCATTTCACAAAACCAAGGACACCCCTTCTTAATAAAGTGTAAAATATATAAAAAATAAGGTATGGCATTACCAGCCATTGCTAAACAAACAATACCAGCAACAAAACCTCTTCAGTTATGTAATGACAGTACAGCTGCAAATTAAATTAACATGTTATTATGATTACACTGCATTTAGGAATGGCCCCATTCACAGATCCTCACATTCAGAAAAAGAATTGTTTTTTTCTCAAGCATTTCACTGTTTCTGCAAAGCATCTGACAGCATTTGGGTGCTTCACAAGTATTTCAAAGCAAGTGGAGCATCCAACAGTAACAGCAGAGCAGCCAACAGTTTCTTTTTTGTTAGAACAAAAATCATGAAAAATGTACACAATTTTTAAAGCTTGGAAATGCAATAAGATTAAGTGAAAATGTTTCTATCAAGATTCTCTATACTTTATTATTTCTCCATTTTGCTTTCAGATGAGGGACTGATTCTATAAATTAACTGCTGTGAAATTATATTACTTTCAAATAATTACAAGCAGATTTTAACATTACTGGGATGAAATCAGCTTACCACACTATAATAGTATTTTATTTGTAAGCATTTCATATAAATAAAGAAACCCTAACATATATGTAAGTTCTGTATTTGATTTCCAATTGACAAAAGCAGCATTAGTTTCTCATTTTCCATTGTCTCTTACATTTATCCCCTCTCCTCGCTTTGTCTGCATCATCTTGAATAGGAAAAATCTCTGAATATGTGCACTGCCTTTTTTCCTTTAGATGACAGATTTGGAACTAGCTGTAATAATTTATGAACTAACTACGACCTGATTTTTGCAAAGTGTACTATATGCATATACTAAATCATATCAGTAATGTAAACATCTGGAAATGTGTGCAAGAAGGATTTGATAAAGCAGCGAAGAGGGATACTGAGAAAAATTATAATATACTCACAAAGGAGTAACCAGCAAGGGCCCTTCAAAGGTGAGAGACAGAGTACCTGCCTCCTGAGAAAAAGTCGAGGAAGTTTGGCTTGCTGAATCTAGGGAAAAAAAGACTGAGGGATGATCTAATAGCAACATACCATCCTTTTAAAGGCCTCTTACAATGATTGAATCAGATCTTCTTGGTCGTGTCTGGTGGGGCCCCAAAACAAAAGGAAAACATGAAAAAATTGCCCTTTAAGAGGCTCCATCTTGGAAAAAAGTTCTTCAAAGGGATAGTAGTGCAGAAAGGCTGCAGAATTGCCATGCCTGGGGGTTTTCAGGACTCAGCTAGACAAATTCACAAATGACCAGATGTACTGCTGGTGATAATCTGCTTTAAGCACAAGGTTAGACTAAATCGCATCAACGGGCCTCTTCAAAGCAACATGTTTAACTTTTTTTGAGTGTGGACTCCAACACTAACTTCTCTGCAAACACCTGACAAGTCAAGAACTGTCATTTTGATTACCTGGCTTTGAGTTCCCAGGAAAGCTCAAAATGAATTTTGATAGCAACTCCAGGAAAAACATTCAAAGAGATGGAATGGGATGGAGACTTAACATAAAGCAGATGACATCTGGGGATTAGGTGTTTGGTATATGGTAAACCTATGACTGACAGTCATTTGTGCATCTCTTTCCTTTTTCTACATTCTGGCACATTGTTATGGCTTGCTTTTTATGATCAAATACAAATTTTATTCAAAGAATATTTTTAAGGTCACTATTTTCACACATAAGTCCCCAGGAATAAGAGTTCTGAGTCTAAGCCTGCTTAAAGCCAAGTAATATCCAGAGAAAATAAACACAGCTGTACACAGACTTCATTACTTAGTGTAAGAGTGAGACAGTGAGGCAATGCCAAACACAAAGATGGAGGCATCACACATTCAGAGAAAGAGGATCCACTCTTAGGAGGGAGGAGGTGCAGCTGGCTCTTTATTTAGGTCACATTTTTCAAGGCTTAACTTATTTTTTCCTTACTTTGGGTCATCCTACTTTGTTGAACATTTCTAGAAATCACTCAAAACACTTTCATTACCCTCTTCCACTGAGGGATTTGAGAGATGGAGAACTGACAGGAAAATGTGGAACTAACGGAAGGTAAAACACTGAATGAATAGTTTGTGAACGAATAGAGATGGTTGAGCAATATGTCATCTCTTGCTACCAACTCAAGAAGTTTAAGAGTGTCCTGTCCAAATGGCATTTCTAACTGGCTTTAAAAGAGGAAGGTGTAAGTTCTGTAGAGAGCCATGCACATAGCTGTGCAACACCATCCAGTTTGTTTTCCAATTGTGTTATTTAAATTTCTTATTTGTTACAAGGAGTAAAAATGGTAGAATCAATGACACCCTTTCAAAGCAACACATTTTTTCAAGTGTAGTGCTTTAAAGTTTAGTTTGAAAGTTACAGACTTCAGAAATGAGTGTACCAGAGGTTCGGGTACTTCTCAAGGTAAGAATCAAACTATAAAGAAATAAATAAATTGGGATCAAACTATTTAAAATTAAGATGTAAATTAAAAAAAAAAACCACATGTATTTTTCTAGGAAACAACAGACAAGAGCTTCCTTTCCTGCACATGCAGACTTGTAGATATAGACCTTGGTAACAAACCTGGGCCAAAAAATAATTTAAAAAAAGACAAAAATAGAATTTACATATCTATACCCTGAATTTGAGACACATTGTCAATATGTAAGGCCATCTTACATGCATGTATCACTAAAAGCCAGAGACAGGTGAAGAATTTAGGCACAAGAAGAGACTTGTGGCTATACAATGAGACAAGAAACTAATCCAATTGTGGAGGCAGATGTGTCAGGGTCTCTCTCAATATCATTCTTCAGTCAGAAGAAGTAAGGTTACTCTCTCTTTTCTCTGCTGAGACAATCCCTTCCCCAGAATCTCAACTTACTTTAAAAGCATATAAAAATAGAAAACTAACGTTAAGAGGCCTCAAAAGGAAGTGCTAGGTATGTACAAGTAGCAGTTCACTACATAGGCCATTGCACTGTTTCAAGACATATATCATACATACGGTCTAGTATTGCTCATTTTTTTGGAGGCGATATCTGTTTTTCTGAAGTCTTAAAGGAGCATCGATGGTTAAACTAAACTAAACAACAGGGCTAAGATAACAAGAAAAGGTTTGCCAATTTAATTTAAGCATGTATTTCCAGTATACTTCCAGTACTTTTATGGGCATATTATTTCCCAAAGAGCAATTACTACCAAAAATCAATTTTATGTCAGTTGTCTTAGCATTGCCTGTTGTTTGGGTTTTTTTAAACATCAAAACTGTCACCAAAAAGCTATTTCACAGCTGCTGAAGTCATTCTATTCCTCTTCTACTCAGTGCAGATGATTCAACTCCTAGCAAGCATTTCTTTCCTAATTATTCAAAAATACCTGGTCTAGATTAGTCTATTACTGTTCCCCTCTTCCCTCTCAGAAACCTTTCCCCAACATATTCATATTTAGCTATGCTTTAGGAATGCATGGCTTACATATCAGTGAAATACACGTGACCAACAAACCCTTCACTTTCAGAAGACATTTTTTTTAATCTTCAATGTTAGACTTTTTTTGCAACATATCTGTTTCAAAATAATTTTATCTTTACAGTAAATGTTCTAAATATGCAAAAAAGTAATTTTTTACAGTTATAACTTATTTTTACTGATTTATAAAACAGAGCTACCTAATATAAAATGCAAATAAATTATTGATTTTATGCTATTTAGGTTAGAGCAAAACTAACAGTAGGTCCTCTAGGCTTCAATGGTGCTGGTTTAAAAATATATCGCGATGATGCTTTCTCAGCTCATGCTGTGCGATCCACTTACATACTGCATCGACTTGTACCAGCTATACTTCATTTAGCCCATCAGTAGAGTTAAATTCATGGAATGAATGAGGCGTGTACACAAAATATCACCAGAAAAATCAGCACCTCACTATATATGATGTTTAAGTGATAACACTAATACTCGTAATGATAAACAAGTTAGACAAAGATACAAATTTAAGAAGTGACATGAAAGGACAAATCAGGAGAAGGAAAGGGAAAAAAAAGTTGATAGCAGGATACCTTCTTTTGTCTGTTTTCAGCAGCAGCCAACTGAGCTGACATTCTTTCTTGCATTTTCCTGCAGTGAGCCATAATAGCTTCTAAAATGGACAGAGGGTTCATGCATATTGGTTTCTTTTCTTTATCACCAGCACCTGCTTCAAAGTCTCTCTGAAGAGCCAGAAATGGGTCACTCAGGTTAAACCTTCCATATCGCTCCTGGATAAAAACGTCTTTGCGCCGGGCCTAAAAAAAACCCAAACAAACAGACAAACAGATAAACCCAAATGCATTCTTTGGCGTACATCCACATATGGAAGAGGGAAATTATGTTACTTATGTTTTTTAAGTATTTTCTTTATGTATTTGTTTATAATCTCTAAAATAAATAGACAGATATGTTGCACACAGATTTCATTGTAGTCAATACAATTCACTACATAAAAATATCCCTTTCCCTTCTCAACTCAATACAGAATTTTCAATATGGAGCAGTTTCAGAAATATTACAGAAATAACCTTTTTAAAACTGGCTGATACACAGAGATGAAAGGAAAGAAAAACACCTTTTTAAAACTGGCTGATACACAGAGATGAAAGGAAAGAAAAACATTCTAAAATACAGTTTTCTGTTTCTGTGTATCAAAATAATGCTAGTAAAAGAAATGAAAACACACTGTGTGTCTACTGCAGTACCAAAATAAGTATTTTTCAAATAAAAAAAATGGTTGGTATGTTTACACATGCAGAGATTTTCGTAAGTAAAAGCAGACAAGCAGAGAGCAAAAACATCACCAAGGCTTTTCTGAAATTAAAACATTTCTCATATCTCTGTTCAGGAAGAACTTCATGATCATATGGTTCTCCATACCATTATTTTAAAAGATAACTATATTTCCAAACTACAGTACAACACTTCATTGTTATAACAAAAAATATTACACAGTGAAGATCAGAGGTAGTTTTGCCTGACAAATTTTTGGTTCTTCAGCCCAACATGAAAACAAGATCAGTTTCAGAAAAGGTACTTTTCTACATTTAATACACAGTACACACGAAGGCCACGGACTACTAACTTCTAACACTCTTCATAGCAAATACCTTTCCAGAATCTCAGGCTTAAGACCCATCTAATTTGTGAGGAGAAAAGAAAACTAAATTAAAAAAAAAAAAAAACCAACCCCAACAAACCCCACCTGAAGGATCCAATGACTTCTAAAATTTTGTTACGGTGTCTTTGTGCTTGCACATATACCAGAAAATGACAAAATTACAGATGAAATTCAACTCGGAGAATCGTAACGTGGTGCACGTCAAACAAATGTATATTAATTTTACATATACAATGACACAGGCTAAATTTCACATTACTCACAGACAAGGCTTTAGTCATAACAGAGCCTGTGTAAGGTTATGTGATAAAGCTCATCTGCACACCCACAAAGGAGCCCAGAGACAAAACAGCAGAAGGGGGAGCACAAATAATACCTTGCCAGGATACTCACAGGCCCATCATCCCACCCCAGGCCCATCGTTCCACCCCAGGCCCATCGTTCCACCCCAGGCCCGTCTCCACCAGCCCAGAGGATTGCAGAGGCACACCAAGGCAGGCAGACACCCAAACTAAGGACTCCTGAGGAATGAACACCTTATCTGGGCTATTCCCACAGTGTCCCAGAAGAGCCTCAGCTCTGCTGGCCACAGAAATGGGAAATAAGGAGTGACAGTTTACTTATCTAACACAAGGATTGTGCACCATCCAGTAACTCCATATATCCACAGAATACTTGGCTAGATGGACCTCAGATCTGAAGTGGCCTGGCTGTTATGTTCTTAAACATAGCTCACATTAAAACAAGTGACTGGAACAGAAAAGTGAGAACAGCATTTTGACTATACTGAAGTTGCAACAGATAATGTAACGCCCATCAACATTTGCCTGTATTCTCACTTTTTCATGTTCTCAGAAGCTGTAGTTGACCCATCCCATCTCATAAAAGACACTACAGTGAACTCTGGCTATCTGTGCTCTGTACCCAAGAAGACTTTGATCAGAGCTGAATCCCTTCATGTTCCAAATCAGCCTCAAACAAATCAGCAGGGGTGAATAGAACTACATCGAGTCTCCATCACCTGCTCCTCCTTGCTCAACACGTGTGTCAACAGTCACCAGGCACTGACACAGCCTTTCACTGTACTCTGTTGAAAGGAAACCCAGTATTTCTTGGATACTTCTGGAATTTTGTTGTAATGTCACAGAAAAATAAAAATATAAAGTAGTTTAAATAAAGATGCTTTGAATAAAATAACACAAAAATACATTGGAAAGAAAAACACTGAATAAAGAATGTCAAAACACTAATTGAAGGTGCCAAGAAACTACAAGAAGTGGTTCAAAGCACCAGAGGTTTTCATGAATAAGGCACTGTACCATTTCTACAGGAGGAACTGCAAAGAAAGAAATGAACATTCAGCACTGAGGATATCTGCAAAAATATTTTAATGCCTTTTTTACTTTTAAAAAAATATTCAGTTGCTTTTAGATACTAGGAGGTAAGGGAGCTAAATGCAGTCTGATGAGAAAATGAAAAGGTTTGTTAACTTTAACATGAAAATGCTACATTGATCATCCACTTTTCTGTTACCTTATGGCTAACTGGCTTTTAAATTTTAAAACTTTTAAAAGCTGTAGAAATATATCCTTTTGGATAATGCATTAGAACATAATCAAGTGGGGTTTTTTAAAACAGAAGTTAATACAAAATCTTCTTGCAAACCATGCTATTTTAATTTATTCTGAATCATGCTAAACATCTTCTACATACTTCACAACATATTCTTATGACAGTGCAAACAGCAAGGGATATCAGGAGCTCACGTTTAATGACTACCCATGGTTAAATTTAAGCAGATGAATATTAATACTAAATGTTTAATATGATAAATCACCTCCTCGACAAGATGTAGAGCGTAAACTTAGAAGAATAAACATAAATAATGCACACCCACTGAAAGCATCACAACTCTTCCCACATATCAATATCTATTGCAATCCCAACATTACAATTTACATCACATTTGCAAATTGCTAAAAATCTACCAAGTAATGTAACAAGAAAATGCAAACTGGATATTTTACAATAAACTACAGAACTTCATGGACCACTGCCAAATCACAGGGTACTCATTTGAAGTTAAGTTTTCCAGAAATTATACCATTGGCGTGAATGAGTAGAGAGCTGCTGACATTTTAACATACATATAATATTATTATTAAAAAACTGCAGAGTTAGCCCCTTCCTCCCCTGAAAAAAAAAAAAACAACCAGCCTCTGGCTACTACAGAAATTACCACACATAGAGACTCATTTAAGCATTTAAAAAAAAAAAAAAAAAAGAAACAGGACTAAGCATGCTCTTCGCCAGACAGTATCTCCACTGTCAGTCTTCCTTTCCTGCTAGACTCTTTTTAAGCTGAAAAACTTATTTTTTCAACTTAAAAGTAGCCGGACTTAAGCAAAGAATACCACTGCCACACTTGTCTGCCAGAAGGTGAGCTATAAAAGAAAAGGGAGCAAAAGGGAGCAGTGAGTTTGAACACTATCAGCTTGACAATTCCTAAACCACAAGTCTGACTGTATATAAATTATGTCTTCCTGCAAAAGGAAGCGGTACACTCACTTATTTCTCTTAGTGGCATGCTTTTGAGTGAAAATCGTGTATTTTCTGAGGAAATAAAACATTTTCAGCATAACACTTGGTACATCTGAAGGACACCTGCAGCATCTGTCTCTAAGAGTTCTTAGATGTAAAACTAGGATTTGTGCATTCTGAAGCCAGGCACTTACTCTTTTGGCTGAAGCGATGCGGTGGTACCTTTGGGCACACCTAAGAACAGAACTGCCTGCATGTGAATGAAATACATCGTAAAACCATAGATGCCCATTGGCTCCACCAGGCCATGGTTCCACAAGGCAAAGTCTTCCACAGGAACAGCAGATTAAAGAACCGATGTTCTGCTTCTTAACCCTCCATCACCACCAGCACTCACACATCACCGATACTGAGAAAGCTCCCTGTGGACAATTCTGACACCAGGGCAAGGAGAAGACACAAACAACAACCTCCAGGCTCCTTTTCCTTGAACAGTTTTTCTGCAGGATTCTTGCCACAGTCATCTTCACAGGATGGCTGACAAACTGATGTGCCAACACATGTACGGGACAAGGATGGTGCAATGTGGTAACAAATGGGGGAAGAAAGGGAAAAATAAGATAAAGCGGAATACCTTAAACACGTATTGTTAAGATTCTCTTTCATGAAGCTAATGGTGGGTATGTATAATCTTTTTGGTTTTATTTTTTACATGATTCCTCCAGCTGCTAAATAATACTGCTGTCTCTTTGCCCTTCACTAAAATACATCAGATGGGAGAAACAGAAATACTAGAATCAGAAGATTTTCTCCCTCACATCCTCTTTCAACACTGAATTTCAATTCATAAAAGCTAGTAGCAATATCAAGACACCTGTTTTTATGGTACTCATTATCTGGGGAATGTACAGTCTACTGTTGTGAGGGTAATTAAAACTTTTAAATAGTCTTTACATAATTTGGTGGCTGTGCTAGAACAGCATTAGTAGTATCTCATATATTAACTTCAGTCACATAGCAATATATACAGAAAATAACATTTAAAATGTTGATTTGCGAATAATTAACTGAATGCATTTTCAAACAGAAAATTTCCAAAACCAGGTAGAACATGCACCCACTATAGAAGGTAATCATGACTGCTGCATTGTGAAAGGCGCTATATGAATTTATAAACCATCAGCTTTATTTTTCTGTACATACCCATTTGCACAGTGGCTAGCCTTTTAATGCAAGGACCGAGATCGAAAGTATTTAAAGGTATAAAAAGATGTCCATGCGAAATTACACTTTTTGCAGTCTATGCCAGTCGTACACAAACGTAAGACTTACCAACAGGTAACTGCTAATGAAAACTGACAGTAAGCACCCACAGATCAAAAGAAAATACCTAAAACCAGACAGAAACCCTTTAAATAGTTCATTAAATACACCACTGCAATAGGGTAAAAACCTGAACTTATTTACAACAGCTTTTGAATTCAGTCCAACAATAACATCACATTTATACACAGCATTTAAATCCTTGCACAAGATCTGAAAGATTAAACAAGACAACTAAAAGAAAAGTGTAACTACTACTTAAAAAGAATG